TTGATTGTTCGGATCATTGGTATCTAAGTCTTCCGCTGTGCTATTTTATACTTTGTATTGAAAGGTCGGTTCTTGTTCTGGTCTGCACCTATACGGTATGCAACACCCGGCCTCCCAACTCTGCCCTATGCGCGGAGCAGTACCCCGGCTCCTAACACCTGGCACGAGCTGGAAAGCTTGACAATTGAAATCGATCCAATCCGAACATTTCAGGGGCTCGGAGCTACCTGACCGAAAAATTCAGGGGTCTCAGGAGGGGGCTACGAGACCGAAAATTGCAGGGGCTCGAGCCCTACCGGACCATAGTGGCTGGCAGCACAAGGGAAAAAATTCAAAAAAGAAAAAGAAGTGCGCCACTGGCGGATCTGCCATGGCTGCAAGGAATGAACTTCAAATTTTGAGGAAAAAAGAAGAATCCAGCATGGCAGATAGACCTTCGGATGTACTGGTCCTTGAAATGCAGTTTTTTCAAAAAAAGTAATATAAAATGAAAAAATGCAATTCTGTCAACACCATGTCTGAGGACCTCGCTCTGGCCCATGGTCCACACAGGATTGTCCTGTTGGAACCGAGGGGAGTTGTTTTATTTGGTGGTGGTGGGGGGGGGGGGGGGGGGGGGTATGCAAAACTACCCCGGCTTTGGCGATTTTTAAACTCCAATTTCCCGAAAATAATCAGGGACGCTGGTCAGGTTGCACTCCATCCGAACGAAAAATTGGAAAAAATAAACGTAAATGGTGTGGCCCATGCGAAAGGTATTCTTGCCAAATGGAATGCATATTCCGAGGGGGCTATGGGATCCGAGGGGGTTGGGGGGCTGTGTAAAATTCTGAGTACCCCAGCGTTGGCAAATTTTGAATCCAATTTCTGGCGAAGAAAAATTCCGAGAAAATCAGGGATGCTGGCTCGGTCCCTCCGCATCCGGGGAAATATTAAAAAATGGAAAATATGGTTTTGGCCCATGAAAGAATATTTGTGCCAAATCGAATATATATATGGAGAGCTGTGCAAAACTTGGTGTGGACTGGTGGTGCCTGGGAGGGTGCCGTGCTGGTTGCGTTGGTGACTGAAAGGCTTATATGAAACTGCGGTGTGTCTGATTAGGTGGCCCGAGTTCTAAGAGCAGTTCAAACTCAGGCTGCGATGCAAAACATGTGATTCGTTTGCGTTTAGAAACTTTCTTATTTTGACTCTGGCGTAAATGCCCCTATGATAATTGGTCAATTTATGAATAATATAAATGATGGATTCTTTAAGTTTCTTTTGCTTGTGTTTGGGCCAGATGAAACGAGACAGCGGTTTTGTCAGCAGGTTTGTGTCGGTTTATCCATCAATGAGTGGATCGGTCTTTGTGCCAAACAGGAGGTTCCATTCCATCAGGTCTTAATCATATAGATGTATGAGTGGATCGGTCTTTGTGCCAAACTGGAGGTTCCATTCCATCAGGTCTTAATCATATAGATTTTGTCAGCATGTTTGTGTCGGTTTATCCATCAATGAGTGCTGCAATCATCACTGAATCAGAGATTCAGTAAGTCAAGCAGTCGGCAATCGAGCAGTCCAGTCGGCAGTCGAGCAGTCCAGTCCGCAGTCGAGCAGTCCAGTTGGCAATCGAGCAGTCCAGTCGGCAATCGAGCAGTCCACTTGTCGTTCAAATGTGCATACCAAATTGTTGTAGCCACAGCTTAAACGACACCTGGCACCTGTATGCATCGGACTTTTCACTTTAGACCGGACAGTCGAGACGCCAATATGCCTGCGACATGCAATTGTGTGGGCCCCGGTGGTCAAGCAGCAGAAGAACTCTGTTGAGTGTTTGATCCTCAGTTTGAGGTATAGTTATATCACCCTCTGGCAGTTGAAAAACCCGGACAGCGGCTGCTGGCGAAGAGAACAAGCTTTCAAACACAGTATTCGGATTGGAGCTGATCCTTTCCTTACTCCAGATATGCTGACCTTCATTCGGAAATTAGTACGTATTGTACTCAACTTGGGCGTCATGTTTTAAGCTTTTGTTATGGGCTGCTTGATTTCCATTCGCAGATGGAGCCGTAATTCATAGTAGATCTGTTACTAGGGCTAGGGGATTTGAACCCGCGACTTTGTCTTGCGACTTTATGAATGTCCGTGCTCCACTTATGTCCTGTTTGTCGGAATGATCCGTTGATTGATCTGTTGAATGATCTGTTGAATGATCTGTTGAATGCTTATGGGTACTCAGGGGCTTGAGAAGTACTTGATGACAAAGTTGTTCAAGCACGCATTTGCCCCGACGGACGAGGAGAGGGAACGGGACCTGAAGCTGTCACAGACGATCAAAAAGTTGCAGAGATTTATACGGCCAGAGCATCTTGACATCCCGCAGTCAGCACAGAAAGAATCGTCGTGGGCGGTAAGGAGACAATTTTCCATGGACCTCATTTTTTTCCCTTTGCGAAGGGCAATCTCCTTGAGAAATCATCTTCAGAATGACCTGCTCCAGGTAAATTGAAGTAGAATAAAAGTACTTAGAAAGGGGATTCCCCAAGGATCTAGCACATCAATTCCTTTTGGAGGCTGAATAGCTCGTAGGCGCTAGACTCCAGAGAATGAAAGCCCTAAAAAAGCTACAAAAAACATCACTTCTCACACGATGAACAAAATCATACCATAATGAAGTCCCACTTGAACCACTGATGTATGATATCCTTCGTAGGTCGATTCACACGCAACCGTACGACACCACAGCTCGATTCACACGCAACTGTACGAACACAGAATGCGAACTGAGGTCTGTATTTCAACAGTTAATGGTTGTACCAACTGAGCTAGGCCCGTTGGTTCCCTACACCTGGTATGGTCCTGGCTATCTTGCAGTGCAACAATTCAGAATAAAGACAATTCCGTTCAATTGCAACTGAAACCAATGGACTTTTTGAAGAGAAATAGACAAAGGAAGAGGAAGAGATAAGAATGGGGAAAGAAAAAGAAGATAAACACAAGCAAGTACCAATGTCAATACCTTTCCACCTCACCACCTTCTTCAACCTCCAATGACTCTCTTCTATACTCTTACTAAAGAGTAAGGCGGGTCTCGCGTAACGCCCCCACGAGGCCTGTCTTACAGTGTAGGGAAAGGGGTCTCGCGTAACGCCCCTGCAAGGCCCAACTTGTAGTGTAGGGAAAGGGGTCTCGTGTAACGCCCCCGCGAGGCCCGACTTATAGTGTAGGGAAAGGGGTCTCGCGTAATGCCCCCGTGAGGGGGAAAGGGGTCTCGCGTAATGCCTCCGCGAGGTCCGACTTAGTGTTGGGAAAGCGCTTGGGACATGGGGTTGCGGGCCCAGCAGAAACCGGCAGTTGTGCCGTGGCCTTTTCGAGTGTGGTGCGGCGTCACGTGTTCGAATACAAGTACGCAGTGCAGCGTTTGTCGGGTCTTCAGTGCACCGTTTTTTTTTTGTCCTGTCCTTTTCTGGAAGTTTCTCGCACGGTGCTGTTTTTTTTTTCTTTCGTTTCTGTGGCAATGTTTCTTTCCATGTTCTAGCAGTGGATTCTCATTTTGCACATTTCAAGAGTAGTGCAGCAATGCCCTGTGGTTTCATGTGCTGATTTCGTTTTCCTTTTTTTGGCCTGCGGGCATCGCTGCACTACTGTCCACATGCGCAAATGACAAAAAAAGATGGCAATGCATCTTTTCAGGTTCTAGGGGTGGATTCAGTCTCATTTTGGACATTTGGATAGTAGTGCAGCAACGCCCTGCGGCGCCTGTCGGGATCTGCTCTCTCTGACAGGTGGATATGGGTTGGAGAAGTACTTATTGCGGTGGCGAGTGGATGGACCTCGAGAGAGCGGGTTGAGGGTGTGTGTTGGTTGTTGGGGATGAAGCGGGGGGCTGGAAGTGAGAGTGCCGGTTGTTGGGGATGAAGCGAGAGGCTGGAAGGGAGATTGATGTCTTTAGGAGGCGAGGTGGGATGTCTGGTTTAGTTTAGGGGAGGGAGTGTGTGGTCCACACGGGAGGGGGAATTCAGGAGGGGGGATTCAGGAGAGATACGCTAGTTGTGGGCAGGAAGCTACGGATGGTTTTCAGGAGGTCAGTGACATCATTCAGCTCCGGAATTATGGGAACTAGACGACAGAGTAATTGGTACACTTCTATTGCACTCATAAAGTCGACCAGCGTGGAGGGGTGCGATGGCAGACTTCTCACTTAGCTGTTAATGGTTTTTCTGTGTTCCTCGCCCGAGTCTTGGTGCATAGAGTGTAGTTTGTTATCTTGCAGAGGCGGCCTTCGGATTCGGAGCTCCTTCATTCTTTCAGAGGTTGGTGGCGGCCTTCGGATTGGGAGCTCCTTCAGTCTTTCGGAGGTTGGTGGCACATCGATCTACGGCTTGATGGTTGTTGCAGTTCGTCTCTGTGAAGCTGCTGCTGTTGCCAGCTTCAACCTTCGACCGGCTTCTACCTGGAATGTTCGGAGCAGCTTCGAGGAGGGCCGCTGTGGCCAGCTTCCCTCTTTGCGATGGCGTGAACGCTGGTGGCGCACTCGGGCGTGGCTTCTTTGAGTCCTCGGGGTGATGGCGGGCGTTGCCTCCCCAGCTTCGAAAATTCGAAGTTGGGTGCGTGGCGCGCAGGAGGCTGGGCGGGAGGGTGGCAGCGGGTTTCGGTTGGCGTCAGCCTGTTGGGTCTAGGCCGGGCGCTAGCGCACCTTAGAGCAGCTCTGGAGATAGTGCTAACCGATGACGTGGGCACAAAATTCAGACTTACCATTCCTCTTTCTAATCTTGTCTGGGTTGCTAAGTTGTCATAATGACAATTGTGGTGTGCGATAATGATAACAGGATGGTTGTGATGATGGATGGTCTTGGGGACGAAGGCTAGAATGGCAATGAGAGGAAAGGAGGGGTGTGGTTTGTGACACTCCTGGGTATGTGTTGAATTTGCAGTTAGCGACCACTGCCCAAGGAAACACCTCAAGTCGAGTGCTTATTTCTGGTGCACTGTGGCTTCACCTGTCTGCCTGTGTGAAGCCCATCACCTTGTTCGAGCGACTTGCGGTGATGCACCTGCTGCCACTTGTCACTCTTAATATCCAGTTTGGGGTGTCTCCCAATAAATGCAGCTGTGGGAGGATGACCTTTCCCCTGGTTGTCTGCTGCAACTGCTGTTATTTTCCTGTGTGTTTTGAATATGCAGTTTTGGCTGAAGCTGAGGCATGCTGTTAGGTTTGATGGTGATGTTGTCTGAGGTTCTTTGATGGCTCTGGCTATTGTCGTATGCCTATGTCTGTGTTCGACTTCTTCTAATTTGTAGGGCAGTAATAGGAGTCTGCGGCAGCTACGAGTGATGCAAATTATTGACCCAAGTTCTCTTAGCCATATAAATAAGTAGGAAACGCCAAAAACTTCACTGCGGCAACGCATAACATCAATCCTATCGCATTATAAATGTAATGGCATTATTCCGTAAGTACAATGCCTCTGTCTCTGCGTCTTTCTCTCGTTCCCTTCTCTCTCTCTCTCTCTCTCTCTCTCTCACTCACCTATCCCATCCTTGTGCCTTTATCCTCTCTTTCTTCCTCTGTGTGCTTGCAGTTTGCACAGAAGGAGCTTCAGAAGATCAACTCATGGAAGGCGCCCCGTGACAAGTTGGTATGCATTCTGAATTGCTGCCGGGTCATCAACAATCTTCTTATGGTTGTGTCCCTTGCAAACGACACCAATCCACCTGGAGCTGACGACTTTCTTCCGGTCCTCATTTACATTGTGATCAAGGTATGATGCACTTATTGAATTTCAGAAGCTCAGTGGCCTGTGCATGTTGGCGATGTCCGGAGGGTAACTTCTCATAGTGCATGAAGAGTGAATAAGAGTATAAGGCTGTAAAGCAACAATGGTCCGTCTTCTCTGTAGGCTATTTTATGAATTCGTCAAGAAGACGAGAACTTAAGGGCATCCTTAACTGCATTGCATTCCTCTTTGATGAAGCCATTTCTAAGCCAGTTGCTGTGCTGATAGCAATTCTGATGCCTTTGACGACAATTGCCTGTTAAATGGTACGTTAAGGTTGGTGTGCTGATGAGGGTTGACAAGGATGTGAATGTGGAGTTGGATCGGCGATCTGGTTTAAGGACCTCTTTTAAATATGGTAAACAGTTTTGGGAATGACAAGTTATAAGCTTTTGATGGTGGTACCGGGACAATGATATGCTTGTCTGTTAATGTTAGCCGCCAGAGTCTGGTACCGTGATGACCTGAAGAATGTCACTGGTGCAGTGGCAACACAGGACAGAACGTGAAATGGTCTGTCTTGTCTGTAGACTATTGAATGAATTCACCAAGGAGAGGAGAGCCTCAGGGCATCATCCTTAACCGCTGTGCATTCGCCTTTGATGAAGGGCAACGATGGGTGCTGCCATTGACAACTATGATACACGTGTCTGTTAATGTTAGCCGCCAGAGTCTGGATCGGTGATCTGGTTTAAGAACCTCTTTTAAATATCATAAACAGTTTTGGGAATGACAAGTTATAAGCTTTCGATGGTGGTACAGGACAATGATAYGCGTGTCTGTTAATGTTAGCCGCCAGAGTCTGGTACCGTGATGACCTGAAGAATGTCACTGGTGCAGTGGCAACACAGGACGGAACGTGAAATGGTCTGTCTTGTCTGTAGACTATTGAATGAATTCACCAAGGAGAGGAGAGCCTCAGGGCATCATCCTTAACCGCAGTGCATTCCCCTTTGATGAAGGGCAACGATGGGTGCTGCAATTGACAACTATGACCCTAGTCTGGGCGGATAGCTGGCAGTAGAAGAGACACATTGTTGTCATATTGGTGGATGGAGGCGAAGGAAAGGCTGGCAGTATCAAGAGACTTCAATGCTTTGCTCATTCTTATTTGGTGTGATCTCGCTTTCCATTCTGCTTTCAGTTTCTGCGCAATGATATCTTGTCTTCTATGAGATGTTGCAATTTGGTTTTGTTATGCGTATTGCTCCTCTCCTTGCACCTGTGCAATTGGTGAGTAAAGTTTGGTGGGCTGACGAGAGTTGAGAAGGATGTGAGTGCTGATGTGGAACGCTGATATGGTGTAAGGACTTGTTTCAAATATGGCAAGCAGTCTTAGGAATGACAAGTCATAAGAGCTTATCCTGGTGATAATGATATGTGTGTCTTTTAGCGTCAGCTGCCAGAGTTTGCTACCGTGATGGCGGAGGGATTGGTGATGCGTGAAGAAGAAGATGATGTTACTGTCGTAGTCGTGATTGTCAGGATCACGGAGGGATTGGTGATGTGTGAAGAAGGAGATGAAGATGATGATGATGATGATGATGATGATGACTTTGATGACCTGCTGCGGATGATGCATCAGTTGCAGCATGGGAAGTAGTTGCTCTGTGAGTTGGGCCTCGAAGGTCTTGCATCGGGTGGGAAATTGGAGATTTGTTGGATGCAGGCTGTATGACGTTAGACGACTGGCGTGATATGTTGAGTTTATAGTCTGACTGGATGGTTGTGTGTCGTTTGGATTCTGGTATGCAGGCGAATCCTCCTCAATTGCAGTCTAACCTTCTTTATATTCAACGGTACAGAAATCAGAACCGCCTGGTGTCTGAAGCTTCCTATTTCTACACCAACTTGCTTTCTGCAGTGTCGTTTATTGAAAGCCTTGGTCCGAAGTCTCTCAATATCAATCCCGCTGAGTTTGAGCAGTTCATGAGCGAAGAGGATGAGATGAGTGGAGGGAGCGGCATTCAACCTAGTCGGCAGGAGTCGATTGAGTCACATGCAAGCACCGTGACCACTGAATATACCCTGGCATCCCCATCTGACAGCGGAGAACAAGGCTCAGGAAGAAACTCCACTGTGGGTCGTTCTTCTTCTCCGCCACCTTCCTCCAACTCATCAGCACATCCATGCCATTCCCCGAGGGAGGACAGTGGGGTGAGTGGTGACGAAAGCAACCCTCCGCCTTCGCTAAGGATATCGTCACCGCCACCCATGTCGATTCCCTCGGCACCTGTTCCGGGTATGACTGCCGCAACAACAGTGGCGACAGTGTCTTCAAGAAAATCCCCAGTTTCCAGTTCCGCGGCTGCCGCCTCGTCGCCTTCAAAGTTTGTCATGTCGGATGCACGGACCCCTTCTCCTATCTCTGGCAACAGCCCAAGAACCGGCTCTGGCAATGGCATGGGAGGTTCCTCGTCCATGTCTCCAAGAGGGGTACAGAAAAGGGGAGGGGTTGACACTGTCAAAGTTGTTGATGAAGGTTTGAGGTCTGGATTTCTGCATCCCTTCAAAAGACTTATTCCATCTGATCTAGAAGCAAGTGCGATGGATAGCGTGGTGGAGGCTGCAGAGCTTGGACAGCTGGGTAGAGACTACAGATTCTTGTATGCCTCGTCCGGAGACTTGACCGTTGGCCAGGTGGAAGATCTGTTACAGGACTACAAGGAGATGGTTCTGAAATACGAAGCGCTGAGCCGAGCATTGGAGTGCCATGATAGGCAGAGAATGGCCATGGGGAGGTTTGGGCGGGAGCTTGAGATGACTGTGGATGCGATGATGATGGCAGGGGCGCCTCGGTCCGCGGACCTCCAGCATACAACACGAGATCGATCTCTGGGTGAGCTGAGTACGGTAGACGACGCATGGAGAGATGCCGCAGGCGAAAGAGAAGGAACAGCAGTGGCCATGGAGTGCGCGGAAACGCCACTAACGATGCGAGGGTTGGGAACGGAGGTGGTCATGCCGACAGCTGGTGGACGTGCAAGCAGTGAAGTGCTACCCCCGGGCTTGATGAGCGAAAACAGCATGATTTCTGGGAAGGACGGGTACGGTGATGTAAACAAATCAGATTCCACCAAGTTTGTGTTCCCAGTGCCTGAAAGAAATGGGAAGATGGGCGAAGTAGATGTGGTTGAAGAGTGGCAAGATCATGATCCAACCACCGAGAGAACTGGTGATGATGCCAATGTCAAAAGCCCTTCTGTGTCAGTGGTAATCAAAGCTTGCTAAAACAGTCATATGGACTTGGTCAGAGAAGCAAGTACTCACATCACCAGGCCACTTGTACTTCTTGTGGGATCTTGATACGTTGCATGTTTTCTTTTCTTCTCCTGGGCAACGTCTGTGTCACGGATCTGTTTTCCTGTCACCTCTTCACTTCTTCTTGCTTCGTGGGCCCATACATGCGATTTTAAGCTTTGTGGCTCATACTTGCAATTCTTAGGTTTGTGGGCTCATGCATGCAACTGCAAGTGCTGTGTTGCTGCCGACACGGGGAGCCGTTTCCACCAAAGCCACCCATCATTCGTCCACCGTGCTTGATGCATGCTTGCATAGATGTATGTCTGAATGTTGAAGTGCCGTCTTGTATGTGATGAGACACAGCTTGAAGATCCTTCAGTGTAGATGTGACCGATGAATGGGGTGTGTGAGCTATACGTTGACTTGACTGTTTCTTGGCTTCTGCCGTGCCGATTGCCGCTTCCAGCGATCTCGTTTGTAAAATATTGTTCTTTGCTGTGCAAGGTTTATGACACTTGGTGGTTCTGATCTGTGCCAATCGCAATCGAGTTGAGGTGATCATGTGCCTGGTGTATGTTCCTCCCGGGGTGGATGGTCTCTGTGTCACCCTGTTACCTGCTGCTTATTTTGTGCACTGTCGTAGTGATTGAACTCGTTTGTCATGGCTTGATTCCTAGGCATTTTCGTGGTGAATGGCCGCCGATCATCACTGTCATAGTTGAAGAGGGGGGGTGGGTGGGAAGGGAGGGAAGAGGGAGAGCTCAAAGGGGAGAGGTATCTTTCAAGGAAGGAGAAAATAGAATGAGGGGGAGGCAGGGAAGGAGGGAGAGCTCAAGAGGGAGAGGTGTCAACGAAGAGGAAAATAGAGGGAAGAGGCATGTAAGAGGGACGAGCCGAGCTTGGGACCATGGTAAACGGAAGGAGAGCGGACGAGGGAGAGAGGGAGGGGGTAGGCTTAATGCATCGAGAGGAGGTGAAGAGGGGGAGGGGATGAAGGGAAGAGGCAAACACGGAGGAGAACAAAGGAGAGGAGGTGAAGAGGGGGAGGGGATAAAGGGAAGAGGCAAACACGGAGGAGGCAGGCACTGCGCAGGGAGGGAGGGACTGTGGTGTGGAGGGCAGTGCTTGAAAGGGCAAGAGGGAGAGGAATGAGGTTGGGTAGGGTTAAGCCAGAGAAAGGAGGGGAAGAAAGGAATGAAGGGAAGAGGCAAAGAGGGAAGATGACAAATGATGGGAAGGCAGGCACTGATGGGGAAGGAGCTTTTATACGGAGAACGATGCATGGAAGAGGTGGGGGAAAGATTGGAGGCTGGGGAAGCAATGGAGAAATGAAGGCGTTAAGGGACCAGATAATAGGGAGAGAGGAATGAAGGGTTTTCATCACAGTCCGGCTTTGTCGGGTGATTGTTTCTTATGTCAGTGATGGTGGCAGAGGCCTTTGTCCCTTTTGTGTCATGACTGTGGGTGTGCAGTGCGCATGAGGTAACCCATCCACCTGAGACGATGCCGGATGGTCCATAGATATTTCTCTATCTTTGTGTATCAAGCATTTGAGATCTGTGTTGTCACACGGGTGTTGCGTACTGAAGGAAGGACATGACACAAGTTGATCTCTTATATTTCTTTGAAGTCTGGACTTGTTGGTTGGTCTTTGGCTTGTTTGCAACCCCTTTTCGCGATTGTGTGCATGCCTGTCTTTGCACTCCGTCTAACGTGTGGTCATTCATATGATGATGAGGATGATTGGCACACCGCAAACATTCTTTCGTCGATTGACAAGCGGTTTAAATGGGGCCAAGAGTCGCAAGACAAATTTGCAGTGGATTAACAGATTAACGCTCTCAAGGAAGGTGGGCAGCTCTTTGTTCTTTGCGTTCCGATGCTTTTCTGTATGGGGCCTACGAATACACATGTCATGCAGGAAGGGTCAAGTGGTTGATTGCGGTTGAGAGATAGGAGATATCCGAGGAGAAAAAGGTCGATGGTGGTTTGCTAGACCTTAGAGAAGGGTGAAAGTGGGTGGGTGGTCACAGATATTGCTGTCAACTTGTTGACGCTGGAGTCATTCGGAGTCCGAGTTAAAGTTAAATTTGTCGAATGCCCATTTAAGACCTGATGAGCTGCCGGGTTAGGTAGCTAACTGCTGACCCGTCAGCTCTCTGCGGAAAAGGGTCAGACATCGTCGTTCAGGGTGTTTTCTTAGTCTGGTGAATGCTAATCTTGTTTTCTTAACTTTTTTCTCTGATATCTTTTGCACCCGCCCTGCCACCCTGTGGGTTATCATTTTGATGTTACTCTCTCATGGGGCCTGATGGTATAATGGGGGGTAATTATTATCGGCTTGTCCAGTAGCTCATTCGTTATGAAACGGATCGTCGTTTAGTTCATCTTAGAGTGTGATTTGCATTATCCAGTCGTTGCAACAGTTGGGTTGCAATTTCAAGGTAGAGTGAAAAATAATAAGTTCAGGGTGAAATCACAGGACAGGATACCTTGAACCCATCTAGGAATTGACCGTGGACACATGGCCGCATGTAGCATCTGGAAACTTCCTCAATGCTCCTCCAGTCCGTACGAGGATGATGCTTGCTAAGTGGCTGTGTGTGTGTGTGTGTGTGTGTGTGTGTGTGTGTGTGTGTGTGTGTGAGAGAGAGAGAGAGAGAGAGAGAGAGAGAGAGAGAGAGAGAGAGAGGTGCAGTACCTTAGTTGTGGTATCACTAAGTCTGGACGACCTGGTTCATCTACGTGGATGATGCTTGCTATGCGTGTGTGTGTGTGTGTGTGTGTGTGAGAGAGAGAGAGAGAGAGAGAGAGAGAGAGAGAGA